CTACATAAAGTCTAGCAGAGATTTTGACAACTTTCCCGGAGATTCTGACTTTTTTATTTAGCGGATCTTTTTGCTTACTTTTTTTTTGTCTCTTATAAAAACAGGCCATCTCGGGTAGTTTTCGAGAAAACAAAAAAGAGTTGCATCATATCATGTTCCCAAGCATCTTATTATTCCTTGAAGTGTAGTTAGAGAAAATAAACAGCATTATATACTTATTACAGTTTTATCTAATACAGGCAATAGTGCGAATCTTTCATAAAAGGTGTCCAATATGACCACCATTTTTCTTCCTGCACAACAAACAATACGGTGCAAAAATTTATGTCCCGTAGTTGATTGGCGATGTATCTTTTAACCATCGACCATACTGTATTTATATTGGTTTGTAGTTTAGATATTTTTGAGAAACTTTATAATTCCGAGAAGAGATTTCGAAGTTACTACAAATACATTAACATTTAGTAGTTTTTAATTTTTGTTTTTAGTTTTTCAAAATGGCTTACAACGCAGCATGCATAGCACATAGTATCAAGTCAGGCAGGAATGAAAACTAAACCAGGTTCTACACAGCGCGTTAAGCAATAATCTATGTATGTGGTTTTTTCAGTATGCTAATGATGGCTGCTTTGTGTTGAAGTGGAGACAACCTAACTACCGGGTATTTATAAAACAATGCGGCAATATTTTTAACTAGAACCAAAAATAACCAAAAAAAACTTGTAAACATCGGTCCTAAAATGTCTCACTAATAAAAGAGTGTTGTAAATTTCTACGCCACTGATAAGACTGAATAAGGACATACATCAAAATTGTCCAAATAACACAATACTGAGATTGCTCTCCTAAAATACTACATTTCAATGCCAAATAATTGTAAAGCCTGTTCTTGTTTTATTGATGCAAGTTGTTCAAGGGGGTTAACAACAAAGAATAAGAAAATCCAGTTTTTGGGATTCAATCGAAAGTATTGGCCGTATCGAAAAAACTCTTCAAATAAGATTTTTAGGTATTTATGAAACCTACAGGATGAGACCATACGTAAAAATATACCTCTAATAGTAAAAAAGTTATGGCCAAAAACCGAGGCAAAAAGCAGGTTTTGGCACTTGTTGCTGATGCGACGATAACTTCTCACAGCTGCTTGAAATTGTTCGTAGACTTCTGAATAACCACAACAAAATTGGAGTCAATTGGTCAAGTAGTTTTTGAGCATTTATAATTGCTTATCCCAAAACACCTGCTTTCCGGCCATCGCTACTAGTTTACTGAGCAATATACAGTGCTCGTTCAAAGGGCATTTCATGACAAAATACACGAATTTACCCTGCTGACGTGAGTCAAAAATCACTCCGAAAGATTTATGTTTATGCGACAAGCGAAGGGTTCCGTTTTTTTATTCTAAACAAATTCAAACATTTCGTATATGTGAGTAGCTGAATAGATTCGCTACGTTATTCGAAAAACATACCTTGTTATACACATTTAAAACACAGCGGATGTGTCATCACGTTTTGTTACGAAGAAAACATTTTTCTGCAAGTCTAGTTCATACTCTTGTGTATACATATTTGTAGCTGAAATTTTTACATGGTCACAGATGAGCACTAAAGCTTAAAAAAATATTCCTTACTTAAATGCGCTGAACTGTTCATAAAGTTAGAACGCAAACTGATGACACAATTATGTTAGAAACTGTCATAGACTAGCTAGTATGTAGGATGTGCTAAATGGCTGCATTATTGATGTCTGCACGACTTTGTCAAATTAGTAGTTCACGTAATCAAGTTTCTTTACGAAGAAATATAGTTCCCTAGACTTTTTTAAAAGTATTAATATAGTATTCGCCTGTTTTCGAAATCTCGTTCGATTAAGACGAGTGCGAGTTCAAGATGTTGTAAAATAAACTCGAGAAAACGAAAAAACAGTAGGCAAATATCAACCAATTGTAGAGAACCGACCGTCCTAAAACTTAGGCAAAATGCTCGTTATTAGTCCCCAATCCATTATTTGAAGATTCAGCGTTGTATCTTGTCTGATTTTCAAAAGTACTGTAATAACAGATTTGATATGCCTTCAAAGTTCGCTTGACATTTGTCATTGTCAAATATAGTGGTATAAGGATCCAGTAAACCAAGAGGCGTCATATCGTAATGGGAAGGATTGACAATTGCAGAACCGCAGTTCGAATCCAGTAAGCTCCATCTTTCTCTATTATTTCTTTTTAAATTTTGAGAAATGAATCCTTTTTCACATTATGTGTACTTTTATTGCGATCAAACAGTTTTTCGCACGCCTTAGACAATGTAAGCTAGCAAACAGGAAACCGGGGATATAAATATGGTAACTTATATATTATATATAATATATATATTTTTTTATATCACATACTTTGAAAATTAGGTACGTCTTGGAGCCGCAGAGGATGCTTTTAAAATTACGTGAGGTAACCTGTATTTATCAAGTTACTGATGAACGTATATGCTCATTCCATCAACAGCGTAGACTTTTTTTTGCATATTGTGTATTTTTGTATTGTGGCAGCATAACGCAAAGATGATCTCCCTTTTCGGAAGTAATAGGAAAGAGGATGCCCTAACACATCGCGAAAGTTAAATATACGAAAAATCTGGAATTAAGCAATTTCAGTTACATCTCAAAGTGTGACATAATTTTTTTTTGCTTCTAAAATTTGTATTGCGCATAGAATGAAACTATATGAAAGATACATTATTATTTTGTATTTATTAACCATAATGCTGCTTATTTTTTCCTACTGTTATCTGTACATTGCCTTTCACAATTAACTTGAGGTAATTAACTTGTAGTGCATTAAACAAGCTTCCAATAGCGAAAGGTGAATAGAGACATTTTACCGCTAAGTCTATCTCTCAGATAATATATATAAAAGTACACATAATGTGAAAAAGCATTTATTTCTCCAAATAAAAAAAAATTATCGAGAAAAAAGGAGCTTTGTGGATTCGAATCTCCGTCCTGCGGTTCTGCAATTGTCAATCATTCCCACTATGCGCCTTATAGCACTATACTTGATACTGACTAATGTCAAGCGAACATTGGAGGCATATCAAATCTGTTATGAACAATAATTACACTAAAAACTATATAAGATACAATGCTCAATCTTTAAATAATGTATTGGGGACTAATAGCGAGCATTTTGTCTAATTTTTAAGATGGTCGGTTCGCTACAATTGGTTGATTTTGTCTACGGTCGGAAACATAATTGTATCTTCAGTTTGCGTAATCTTTTAAGCTCATCTGTGACCGTGTGAAAATTTTAGCTTTAAATATGTATACACAAGAGTATGAAATAATCTTGAAAAAAAAATTGTTTTCTTCGTAACAAAAGGTGATATGCTTTGTTTTAAAATGTGTATAATAACGTATGTTTTTCGAGTATCGTAGCGAATCTGTTCAGTTACATACACGAAATGTTTGAATTTGTTTAGGACATAAACACGTAACCCTTCGTTTTTCGCATAAAAATAACAATTATCTTTCGGAATGGTTTGTGATTCATGTCGGTAAGGTAAATTCGTGTATTTGGCTATTAAATGCCCTTTGAATGAACCCTGTATATTGCTAAGTCATGTCGGAAGCAGGTGTTTTGGGATAAACAATTAGAAATTGTAAAAAACTACTTGACCAGTCAACTCCAATTTTGTTGTGGTTTTTTAAAAGTATGAAGCCTACGGTTTTGAAGAATTTCAAGTAGCTGCGTGAAATTATCGTCGCATTAGCAACAAGTGTCAAAATCTGCATTTTGCCAGGATTTTTGGCCATAACTTTTTAACTATAAGTCGGATCTTTTTACGTATGGTCTCATTTAGTAGGTCTTATAAATACCTAAAAACGTTATTTGAACAGTTTTTTTGTGTCAACACTTTCAATTGAATCCCAAAAAACACGTTTTCTCATTCTTTGTTGTCGAATAAAAAGCTTTCCGACAAAAATCGGTCTTCCCATTTTATGCGTCGATGTTTTAAATACCCCCTTGAACAACTTGGATCAATCAAACCCGACCTTACAATTATCTCGGGAAAATTTGCTAATATGATTAGATTACATCGTATTTTCGGGTTGAAACGCGAATTTTACATGAAACTTTTAAACCTATTTTTCTTCAAGAGGGTCTGACAAAAATTTCTGAGGAGCAGTGAGTGTGTGAAACTAAATACTTTATTCAAAAATGGAATAGATGTTTCAAATTTAATAAGTTAATGACGTAGAAAATAATGTTGTTTTTTCGTCTCTAGGGGTCAAAATTACCTAATTTACAGTCAATATCTTAATACATTTCGAAATATATTTTTTTGATACACCATGAATGTCATCAAGCGGGCATTGTAGGAACCAAGGTTATATGATCTTTTCGTATTAATTTTTCTACTACTTTATATCCTACAAAGATTGCCACGTTTTTCAGCAAACAAGTACTTTATCTTCGCACAATTTAGATGTACATGTATGTTACCTATTTCGGGAATATGTTAAATCCCTAGCTTCAAAAGTCACACGTTTCACAAAATAGAATTACTTGATACTAAAGATAACATGTACAAAGAAGTGGAAGTTGTTAAACTAGATAAGCTGTTGGAATCAGAACAATGTAAATTAATTTTCAATACATTTCTTATTAGTTATTATACAAGGGTCACTTTCTACATAAAAATAATTCTAAAGTTCTGTAATAGAGATGTACCGTTCTGTCAGTATTAATATTGTTTATACTAGAATAATAAATTTCATGTAAACAACTTGGTTGGTTTTTCTTGATCACGCAATATAGTTGTTAGCAAGAAATGTAACTGAAAAGCTGTTTGTGAGTGCATCCAAGGAAGCGAAAATCAACAATGCAGCAAGCTAATACAAACAGGCGCTCCTTATAAAAGTGCATAACAATTCACAATTAAGTCATTCGGATAGATTTTTCAACTACGATGCATATAAAGACAGATACAGAGTATATCAGTAAGATGAAATTAAGTTTGTCAGACGATTTTGATGGACAAGCAGAGCACATAACAGGTAAGTGGGCGAAAAAGAACGTAAGAGGCTATATGAATGCAAACATGAGTTTACAAACGATAGGAAAATACGAATATGCAAAATATTGTAAAACGTTGCAAATATCAACCAAAGTATACAAAAACTCGAATCTAAATAAGAAAAATATGAAAATACCCACTGCAGTAACTAGTAAGTGTGCTATCAAGACGAATATGAGGACACCTGAAATGTCAAAATCCATCAAGCCGTTTGGATTGTTGTCCGTGAAATAGACATTTAATATTTGAAATATTCGATTAAATCCGTCATTTTGATTTCATAAGACACATATGTAGATTCAAAGATGAACTTCACCAATTAAAATCCACCCTTACGATTTTATAAATTTTTTATATAGTCATAGTCACTCGCACTGTTAAGACGATTCCAACAACATTTCAGACGTCAAAAATCCACTAATCCGGTTGAAGTGTGTAGTCCTTGAAATAGAATGTTTGTTCCACATACATACCCACTCGCGAAAAACAGAAACCTTCCTACTGAGGGAATCGAATTTTCTCAGAAGTTATTAACTGAGATTGAATGAATTTTTTGAGTTGTGCTCTTTCATGATATTTCTTGTTTTATCAAGTGACTAAACTACCCTTATGACGTCTTCTACATTTTTCATATACTGCAAAATTCTTTTGTACGATTTTTTAATTTCTTTCTACGTACTAGATAGCGGCTTGCACTATTACTGGGATTTTTTATGTAATAAGCCAAGCGATACTAAGATTTAATCAACTAAAATAAATGAAAATCAATTATGCATGTAACTTCAACAGCCTACACTGCGCCAGGTTTACCTTTCTCATGTTTACTAATTATTATCGGTTATCCCTTTTCACCAATTTTTTCCTGATATGCTCATTTTTCTCATTATTTTGGGATGTTCCACAATGCAGCGAGCCCCCCTGGACACTCAGATGTTTCAATAAATCGAATAATCCATATTTGGTGTATCGTGGGAGCTAGAAGCTGGTTTGCGGGAAAAGCATTCGTTTTCAGAAATGCAACAACAAATTAACAAAATATGGTTTTCTCATATCAATTTTAGATGCAAACGATTTTTCGGATGAGCGAATCAGTTACAGTGGGTTAGTTTAGGGCCGTAGCGTCAGTCGTTCCTACAATGATTGTAGGACGCCTTTATGGCCTCCTTGATTTTCATAGTTTTCTACTGTTCCGTGTCAGCGCTCTATTTTAAGGTTATGTTACAAGTGTCTATTTGCTTCAACTTGTTCATGCTTTTGATTTATATTATCTGTTTTGTCAGCCTGAAATATCCTACAATTCAAAGAGAATAGGGACCGCTGACGCTGACACAGAACAGGTGAAATCTAGGAATACCCTGAAGGAGAGAAAAGATTATGATAATCATGGAGGCTATAAAGGCGTCCTACAATCATTGTAGGAAAGACTGACGATACCGCCCTGGGTACACAACAACTTGAGAGAAAGGAAAAACGAGCGCCGGTGGGATTCCAGCTTTCAGGATCAACTGTTAGAGGCAGATTCAATCCTACCCACACTACTGTGCTTCATTGATTCAAGCTCCTTGTTGCCCCATCTGTCGGCGTTCAGGTGAAACAAACCGGATCGGTGAGGTATCTCCAATCGCTTTCTAGTGGCACCACGACGTCTCGTGGGCACTTACCACGGTACCAGCGTGCGAGCGTAGTAATCTGTATACGTTTCTTTCGGATGAGCGCATCCATAACAGCGGGTATGTTTAGCAACACCTCACGGAAAGGAAAAATGGGCGCCGGCGGGATTTGAATGCCGCCAGATGGAGCATCAAGTAGCATGGGTACGATTGAATTTGCCTCTATCAGTCGATCCTGATAGTTGGTTGATAGCTGATATTGTAAACTAACTGGTTACGTCAGGTCCACAGAATGTATGAGATGCGGGTTCGAAACCCGGGGACGCCTATTGGTCCTTTCTCTCAAGTTGTTGTTTGCTTGACTTTAGATAATTTAATATCATTATGATTCCATCAGTTTAACATTCATTCTTTCTGGATAGCATTCAAATTAAGTTTTTGACTCTCTTGGTATATTCTGATTTCTTGAGGGACGTTTTTTCATCTGTGATATTGCGTTACACTTTAGATTTCTAAATGGAAACCCCCATTTTTAGTAGTTTTAGTAACTTTTGTATAATAAAGTTTACACCTATCTCCAATCGATGTGAAGCTATTTGAGTCTATAACAAAATACTGATAATAATGGAACACACGGCAAAAAATAATTATGGATAGAAAAACTTTGTCTTTCATTTTAAATTGTCAAGTTACCTACCTAGTTCTGATGAATATTGAGCAATGACTTATTCAATTCAAGAAAGGGTAGAAATAACAAAACTGTAGTACCAAAACGGGAGCATTGCAAAAGCTACTGCCTGGTTGTTTAATGCGTTACATTCAGACAAAAATATTAACGAATATTATAATATAAAAATGCCCTAAGAGGTGTGGAATTAACGCAAAATTACAGCAAATATTTACCTCATGTATAAAAAATGCCATAAGAGGTGTGGAATTATCGCAAAATTACAGCGAAAATATCCCGTTACCTAGACAAAGGGAAATTTTCAGTGAAAATTGCCCAGTAGGTATCGAAAATTTCCCTATAGGCCCGTATCTATATAGTCAACGCCAAACAAAGTGGTGTGAACGTCATCACGATAAAAATTCCCCGACCTAATGCCTAGGTTTCTATCACAAACAATTGCTCTATTGCAGTTTCATATTAATGTGATATATAAATTGTAAAATGGTCATTACTCTCTTATTATGGTTAATAGTCATATAAACATTGTTATTAAAATATCACATAAGTTGCTTTCTGATAAATTTAGACGCATTATGCGAAATAAAATGTTTTGCAAACGCTCCAATCACTTATCGACATGTAAACGCACTAAACCGATTTCGCAGCGTTGACACATTGTCACCTTGAAACTTATTTAAACTGGGAACTGACATTTGTATTAATTTTGCCACAGAATCAATTTGTGGCATTTCAAATCTTTATAAATCCTTTGGCCCCGCATACTGTAAATCAACAACTGTTTGTTTCAAAACAAAATTATTCATTTTACGAGTAGATAAAGGCAATTTTGGTATATAAAGATGCCCAAACAGTTAAATAGTCGGTGTAAGGAACTCGTGGCCTCGTTAATGCACTACTTTGAGCAAGAAAGGGACAACAACGGGCCTTTGTTGCCTTTAAATGCTGTTCAAGAGGTAGGTTACTAATAATTATATGTAATGTATATTAATAATAGTGAAATTTTATTTCATTTTTTGTAGCGTGTTGCTGCTGCTTTAAAAATTAGTTTAAGGACAGTTAGTCGTATTTCCGAGGGTGTGAAAAGTGATGCAAATTTAGAATCGCCCAAGAATAAGCGGAGTTATATTAAACGTGTAACCAACACAGCGACATTGGATACAAGTGCCATTCGAGAAGTGATCTATAATATGTATCACAAAAGTAAGATCTTATTATAATAACTTATCAGAAATTTGCATTAATTTGTTAACTAAATTATAATGTCATATTACACATGGTTTCAGAAGAACAAGTTACGATACAAACTTTATGGTCTCGATTAAGAGATAGGGCATTATTTGATGGTAGTGCCACGTCTTTAAGGCGGTTGCTTAGAGATCTTGGATTTAAGTGGCTTAAGGACAATCCGCGACGAGGGCTCATGGAACTACCAAGTATAGCTTTGAAAAGGGTGGAATTTCTAAGGCAATACAATCAAGCCAAGGTTGAGGCCTTATACCAGTTTGTCTTCCTCGATGAAACTTGGATATTTCAAAATGGGACCATAGGTCGCTCTTGGCAAAATGGAAACCAAAAAAGCGTGAAAGCTATTAAAACAGATGGTAAAAGGTATGTACTTTTACACAATTTGCACTATAAAATTTAAAACTAATATATTTTAGATACATTATATTACATGCTGGAAATGAAAATGGGTTTATTGAGGGTAGTGAAGCGATATTTTCTTGGAAAACAAAATTGAGCGATTACCATGGAGAGATGAACCAGGACAATTTTTTGAAATGGTTTCAACATCAGTTATTAGAAAAATTGGAGAGTCCATCTATCATTATACTGGATAACGCCCCTTATCACAGCATGATATTGAACAAAGTGCCCAACAACGCATGGACAAAAAAAAAAAATCCAAGACTGGTTGACAAATCAAAACATACCATTTTTTAACACAATGTTTAAAACAGAGCTATTGAGTATTGTTGCTCGGTACATAATGCTTCTTAATTATATATATTTTGGTCGACAGTTTATATTTCTTTTGTTTATTCCTATTCTTAAAATAACTGCTTTTTTAGAAACAAACCACCTAAAATATACGTTATTGATGAATTGGCGGAACAAAATGGGCACAAAGTTCTTCGTCTGCCTCCTTACCATTGCATATTTAACCATATTGAGTTAATTTGGGGCATAGCAAAAGGTTACTATAACAGACATATTGGTAGAGATGGTAACAGTGAAAAAGACTGTTTGGATATGTGGAACGAGGCTCTACAAACGGTTACCCCAGACATGTGGAAAAATAGTGTTCGACATACTGAGCATAAAATTTTTAAATGGTATGAAAGAGAACGAATTTTTGATCGACCAGACATCGAACCTTTAATAATCAACTTTGAGAGTGATGAAGATTCAGATTCAGACAGCGCTGAAGAGAGAAACTCCGACTAACTTTATTGTACAGAAAAAGCTTACACCAGTAGCTTACCTAATTTTAGAATGCATTTTTCTGTATGAATTCTGTAAAATAAATACCATGCATAAAATTTGGAGGACCCCATTTGGATTTTTATCCAGTACCTTTAAGCTATCAATTAAATATGGTGGTTTCATAGTGTCATCTGATCAATAATTGTCATACTTAATGATTATGCAAGTACAGATCTATAATTTTATTATACT